GCAAAAGTATAAAATAAATGTTAAAAACAAGAGCTGATGAAAAAAGATAAAAAACCTTAACCATATTTGTAAAAACTGACCTCTACACTCCCCAGTAGCACAAAATATTGCTGATCATTTTAGCACACGATACAAACGATTTTAGCATTTCATCGTAATTAAAAATAACATAAACGGTACAGGACTTGTCTTATTGGTAGATTTTTTCAAAGAATTTGGAGGGTACATTTTATATCAAGTAACCCTCCTCTCCCCCTTATTTTGCGTGGGTATTGTCACCTGTATTAACGTAAAATCTGGTTAATATTTGCTTAAAGTTAACAAATATTTTATTTATTTTATTGTTTATGGCTTGCGCTTTGGGTAACTAATAGATATTAAATTTACGACATTGATGCCTGTATTCTAGTGAAAATAGGCAAAATAATAAATCTAGTTGAGCAGAGAGCGGGCTGGCTAACTATAAAAGAACAAACAAGACGGGGAAAGTGCAGAATTCTGTATCAGTTGATAAGTTTTAGCACTCAAGGCGCAAACACACCTTTAAACTGGTGCTAACTGACATCTCAATTACAAAATTTTATTACGGTATTGTATCTTTAATTGGGTACGATAAAAAGTCAGTAGGCATGCGAATTAAGGTTATTTAATATCCATTGATTTTTTTGTCGTGAGTTTCTCAATGAATGAGAGTTGGTTTAGTTTAGTTTTATTAATGTAAGCAGGGTGTGCGAGTTAAATTATTGATTATGTCGTATAAGGATTTTTTCGTTTTTTGTGAATAATTAATTTTGTTTATCGTATTCTTTGCTATTGTCACACATTATATGGGTTGGGTTAGAAGGAAATAATTACTCTGGATTACCTCGTAACAGAATGTTATTTTCATAATTTCGCAAAATATTCATTTATTTACTCCTTACAGGAAATACTTTCGTACTTGGGAAGTTGATTTGAATAGTGTTTTATTCCCAAACTTGTAGTATTAAATACAACATATTTATTAATACAGTGTCCCATTTACATTGCATATATCTTTAAAAGAATAAACGATAAATCAATATTTTATTGGAAATCTCACTGGAGATAACTACTTAAATTTACTAGAAGATACTATTGATATATTAATGTGTATTATTGATGTATTAATTTACTATAAAATAAATCTCCATGTAGTGTTTTAATATAAAAAAGTTGGGAAAATCACATCCAATAGAATTCAAAAGTGTTGACTAAATAACATGAACTATGAATTCTTTGCAATATGATTAAATTATGTTATAAGGGTGATTCTACAAAAGTTGGGCAACTTTTGACCCCATTTTGTTTATATAGTTTTCGGAAAAAAATTAAACAGTATTTTGTTATGAGAACATAGATAATATAATAAATATACTGTTCCAGAACGGGCCAGTCACTTTTTCAAACAGTTTCTGAAATATCTGTGTTTTCTAAATTTGAATGCAAGTGAAGTGACGAGTATACCAGGGTACTAATTAAATACATAATTTATTGAAAAATATAAAATTTATTGCAACTTTGAGCATATTATACATTAAATATCGTAAAATCAAATAATACCACACATCAGTGGCGGCTGGTGGATTTTGGGTATACCGATATCTTAATTATTAGATATGGGACCCACACCAAATTTATATGAGTTTATAATGACATTAAATAAACAAGTCTCGCGTAAGCAGAATTTAAATTGAAGTTTGCGAAAAAAAGATAACCGAAACATCGAACATGGAATTGACGACACGGATACAAATTTGAGATTATAATTCGGAATTAAGTATTTTACTGATATTTTTTATTAGTGGATGCTACTTATCAACAAATCACATATACCCTTATATAAATTAAAATGATATATATTTACGTAAAAAAATAACAACTCACCACAGTACTGAAATTTTGACTGGAACTATACGTGCATTCACCACAACTTCGCCGCTTGCATTGTTTTCAAGATGACTGTCGTGCAAAGGGCGGGCTCTGTAGGTAATTTTTTACCAACACTTGAGTTAAAACGAGGACTTGACGTTTAAAATTCAATATAACAAAGATTATCAATTTTTTTAAAATTGCTATTATTCGAATCTATGATAGAATATGAAAAATACATTATTTAATGTATTATAGTTTGTAGTGAAATTGAAAAATTTAAGATAAATTGAATATATTTTAAAAATAAAATCACTCAAATATTTGATTCAGGAGTTGTGACACGCCAAGGTACCTACTGATGTTTTGAATATTTATTATGTTTTTCTACAAACGTGCTTTTGAAAAAATACATTAAAATTGCGTGGACAAGTTAAAAAAACCTGGATCTTTTGTAATATACTAAAATATTTACAAAAAGTATTAAAATACCTACTCTATTGACTGATGACATCAAGTTGTCCAACTTTTGTAGAATCACCCATAAAGAAGGCCCCATTTATATGCATTAGTAGTAAAACTTTCATAAATCGAATTTTTCAAATATGCATCCATTGTTACTTTTTTAATCGGCAACAATACGACTGGTCATGTTACACTTAGCTTGGTAATTCTTTGGGCTTCAGGTCACGAATTTTGCATTAAATGGTGTGTAACAATTAAGAATTTAATAACCATTGTCGGCGATTACTTTGTTTGGACTCGTGAAAGCAATGACTTTATCAAGTGCATAACTTTTAAAAAGTTTTCTTTTTTATAAGGATAGTTAATTGATTTAATAAGTGGTCAATTTTTCTTTAACTTGCGCTAAGGTACTTGAAACACAAAAGTAGATTTAACGGGACTTTTATTTTATGTTTGTTGTTGCTATTATTATTATTATTATTAATATTATAATATTTGACTGTCTACATTGTTTATTTGTTAGTTATATCTTCGTACTAAAAAAATAAACAAATTAATTATTTACGAATATTGATATAGTTCCTTATATATAATACCTTGGGTAGATCCATTGTTTTGGGGTGTTTACATTTTGTACATTTTTTAGGATCTTTACAGACTTTTAGGGAAAATATTGTATGGCAAAAATCGCAACAACTTTTTTGAAGTAGAGGGCAAATTCTTTTTAAAAAGTAACAAATTTTAATTTATTGTTTTTATTAAGAAAAATATTACCTATGAGTAGACTCAGATTGCATATTTTTGACACAATCTTTTAGTTCATTTAGTAATTGTTCTTTTATTAAAATGTCCCCATTTTCGGTCATGTTGGTAAAATTTTGATTGTAAGCCTAAAAATGACATATTTTGACATATCTTTGACTAAAGCTCGTTTCTTCCAGCTAAAATAAAACTTCAATTATGTTTTTATTAATTATAAGCGACTTTTAGTTACTTCATCATATCAAATCAAATTTTTTTTTCAAATATTCTTCTTTAAATAAATAAAATTAAGATACAATGTAACATTTAATATTATGAGGTTATGTAATGTTATAAAAAATGAAACAGTGGATTTTCACTGATTGACAGTGCATATTAACTATTTGCCGCAGTGATAAGTAGTACCATTAGCAATTAGTGAATACTCACTTTTTCATGTAGCGATTTATTTGCACTAATTTATTTAGTGGAAATTACACTGTACAAATTAGTGAAATAGGTTTAGTTCAAAAAAGTTAAAATTTCACTATTTTATGTCGAGAGTTCCGGAAAAGTAGTGATAATAAAAAACACTAATTTGGAGAAGTTAAAATTTCACTAATTTATATTGAAAAACACTAATTTTACAGTGAATAATAACTCACTGACGGAAATATTGAAAATTTCACTGTTTCACTTTTAGAGAGTAGGTAAATACTTGAAAACAAAGTGAATATTTTAAAAATTTACAAAATTAAAAAAAAAATTATTTTCTTTTGTTTTTTTATTTTTCTCGAAAAAGTACGTTAATAAAAAATTTTAAATGTTGAAAATTTTGTGAATTCTAAAAATGTTGAAAATAACAAACAATTTTTTGAAAATTTTTAATTCTTTAAATTTTGCAAAGCCCTAAATTTTTTGTTTACAATATTTTTAGCGTAGTTTTTCGAGAAAAATAAAAACCAAAAAAATATTGACTTATTATAATAGTAGTATACTACGTACTTATACAATTGTGTTAGTTACTTAAGTTATCGTTAAATTACTTACCCTTTGGTCTTGATTTTGACATTTCAACCGTTAGACTGACTATAGAAAGTACACAACTAAAACAGTACTGAAATCTGAGTTAAAATTAAATTAGACAATAAAAGCAAAAGGTCTAACAGTTAATAAACATAAATATCCTTTGGTATTAATATAATGGCAAGAAGATAACATTTCAGAGCAATTGCTTCCATTACTTGAACACAATTGAGTTTCAAAGTTATTATTGCCAATGATATTAATAGCTAATTTGTATCATATTCTAACATCAACAATGGCTCTTACTTACCTACAAGGGCACTACATTATTTTTACGTTTCATAATTTCATTGATATTGTTTATTGTCTTTAGACAAAAGCACGATTTTTAGTTTTCTATTTGCCAATATTTAACACAATAGAAAAGGTTTAGATGTGTGATAAATGTATAACAAATTTAAAATAGTTAGGTATATATAGATTTATATCATCACCTCAGTGGCTTTTATTTAATTAAAATGCATTGGATGAAATCAGTATTAAAATTCCATAATTTTAAATGTAAATACTAACAAATACAACAAATTCGTGATCAAAGTAATATGAATATTAATTAAATTCTACAAATAAATAATAGATAAAGTCCATAGAAACGCCATGAAGAATGTTAAGTAGATAGGCTAAGAATAATAAAAAGATTTATTTTATTATTTTAATCATGACGAATAAAAAAATTATTCCACAATTTAACTGTCTGTTTAAGTTTTCACTTATAGGCAGATTAATGATGATATTTAAATTGATGCGTTGTATGTCAATATTTGTACAAAGCTTTTATTCAAACTGAAATATTTTTGTTAATGGATTTTTTTTTTCAGATTTTATACGATGTTATTAACGAAAAGGCAGAATCCATGATATTTTGTGCATACCTAAAATAACATATGGGTAAGTTTTTAGTAAAACTATTCAATTTAATAAAATAAAAAGTTTGGTACAATAGAAAGTGAATAATCAAATATAATAAAAAACAGTATAATTTTAGAGAAACTCTCAGGTTAAGAAGAAGAAACATGCTACAATTACACTGTATTCTAATATTTATATGAGTGGCGTAACTAGGTTTTTTCTGGGGGGGGGGGCAAATTTGACATTTACAGCAAAGTTTATTAAATTTAACACTTAAACATAAATTTTAAGGAAAATATTGTTTTTAATATATAAGTATTTTTTTATTTGAAGAGCTACATGATCAGAGAATATGTGCGTGGTTACAAGAATATTAAAATAAAATTTAAAAATTAGAAAAAAGCGGTTCTCAAATTGTTTGAAAAAAGATAAAAACCTTTCATACCCAAAAATTGTTATAACTTTGTTGCAAGAATTTTAAGAAATCATACATTTTGAATATTAGAGCTTCACGGAAGATAGCTTTACGGAGGTTAGGATTTCGTATGTTTTTTTAAACATTTGTTTGTATATTTGAAATAAGTTATTTTATTTTTTGACACCTTAATATTTTTAAAAAATACAATTGTACGTTCATAAAATATTTATAAAAAATCTACTTACTAAGATATTACACTTCACAGTGGATAGGTTTTTAAATAGCAATAAAAGTGTAGGTCAAATTCATTTAGTTTCGTGAGATTCACCCACCCATACATAGGTTACTTGGTGCACAAAAATTAAAAAAAAAGTTTTTCACTTTTCTAGATTTGTGCAAAGTTCACTATTTTATCTCCTAAGGTTTCAGAGTATTTAGAAAAATCATTTTCAGAGACAGACCCAGTCGCAGACATATGTCAAACATTATATAATTGATGAAGAGAGTGTTTGTACATTTTTATTATCATAAGGAATTTTCTGTTGAATTTCCAGAAAGGAATTTCGATTGACAAACTTAATATGTAATTAATAATTATATTTTTTCAATAGGATGTCACATGGTTCGCCGCCTTATGTTCATCGTAATGAACAGTAAAAATTTTTACAAGCAGCCACATAGATCTTACTTTCTGGCACACCATAAAAACCATTTTTATGGCCGCAAATTTTATAGTCGTTTTTCAAATAAATAAATTATTGCCAAACATAATTATAAACAATGCATTGCACTGTAGGATATTATTTATTAACTTAGTTGGATAGGTATGCATTTATTTGGCAATACATTAAATATGCAGGGTGTCACCAAATAATTTGTCATCTTTTAAGGGTATAGAACACGCAAAAATAAGAAAGTTTTTCCTTTATCAGTTTTGCATTAGTGCCATTTTTTTTAATACAAAAATCATTAAAATTATTAATAAAGTAGAAATTTTAGGCCGCCACTGATTGTTCCTGACTTCTGACAACTGACACAAAATATGCTTGCACAGTGGGCAATAATCTAAAAATATTTGTTATTAACTCTAAACATTATAAACATGATTTTTCAGAGAAAAAAAATATATTAAAAATATTGATTTACACTAGAGCTCCTTAAAAGTTGTTTTCCGCTTATTTACCGGAAGAAACCGGTTCTTATAAATTATAGAAAAAAAATATTTTAATGTGTAATTTTATTTTGCACAAACTTAGTAATCAACATAATTTAACTAAAACAAGTATTTATTTAGCAAGAATTAATATTACACGGGGGTATTAACTTTTATACATGTTATACTCTAATGTTTATTGGCCAAGCAGCCATTAACTAACTTAATTAGGACCGAAAAAGGAAGCTCAAATTATAATTGCCTCGTGCAACTTTTCAACGAATCCGCCGCAATTTTAATGTCAAAAGTTTATGCTGATGTTATCATTTATATTTAATGCAAAATCGCGAGACGCTTTTAGAAGCGATGGAGAAGATAGCGCGGTATCAATTTTAATTAAAAAATAATTCGGGACACGTCAATCACGAGCAGATTTTAAAAACCGAATAAAATTTAATTTAAACTTAAAAGCGTTTAAAACAGTTTACTTATATTATGCATATTATAAAAAACCTATTGATTTTACTACACAACCAAGTACAGGAACAAATTTGTTCGATTAAATTGTCATAATCCCAATTTAAGTGGAATGAAATATGCGATGTTAAAACCTTCAAACACAGATTTTCCATTAATACGTCCGTACACTTTATAGGAGAGAAAATGACATTAATATTAATTCACTTCACATCCTGATGTGTTTCTTTTTAGATATTAAACGGATTTTTTGTCCACGCATCAAATTATTTTGATAACGGTACTAATAATGGGGATTTAATATCTGCACTAAACTACAATATTAAATATTAATAGTATACTAGTAAATATATTTTTACGATACAGTGTTAGTGAATGTCGATATCGGTGAGCAATTTTTATTATTATTAAAAACAATAAAATTATTATTCTCTAAAAGCGTTCAATAAGAAGAAATAATACAAAAATACATTACAAGTGAGTATTACAAGAAAATATCAGAGGTATGCTTAGAAAAACGTATTTTGTACTTAAAATTATTTTCCAATACCATTGTCAAAAAGTCGGCCTTTAAAGTTTTAAGTTAAGATAAGTTAAGTTTCAAAAGTAGGTCATTTTTGACAGTTATAAAATAGTATATTATTATACGTGAGATAATGCAGGCTATTATTCACGAGGATGAGGTTAGCGCCTCGAGACTAGAGACTCGAATCATCCGATTTTTATAAGGCACGAGCGAAGCTTGCGAGCGAGTGATTAATAAAAACGAGTGTCTAGAGAAGGTTATAAAACTAGTTGCATACTATACTTTTTTTACTCCCGCCTTTAAAACGACCATTATCGTACATGTTTCCATGACACTAATTGACCTTTTAAATACACATTGACAAGTTGTGGCTTTACGGCGTTTTAGTCACGGGCTGAAGTTAGCAACAGGTTTTTAGTCACGGGCTGAAGTTAGTTTTAAGTTAGTTGACAGTTGTCAAATGTCATACAATCGTTAAAATAAATTGCCTTTCTTGTTAAATAATACTAAATTTGAAAATTATTTTATTATCTCAATACAAAAATACAAGTATTAAATAGTTTCTCAACGCCAATATTTAAAAAGTTTATATGAACATTGTACTGACCTTTTAATTTCGCCGGCAGTAAACTATAACTTAAATTCGGGCACGGACTCCACTGTAAAGTGCTCATAAAACATTTTCTTTACATTCATTGTGAAAAACTGTCAATTTTCAAGAAATACATTTCGATTTATAACCTTTATAATTGTGTTTATAAAATATAAAAATGTGACATTTCACGGTGACACACAGATTCCCCTATTGTTTCATAGATGGTGCTCTATACAAATTTTTGATTTAAATCATTTTAAGATAATAATAAGTATTTGTCTTAGAAAAAGTAGAGTATGCACCTCGTTTATAAACTTTTCTATACACCTATTAAAATTAAAGCCAATTTTATTTGTTAATTATTTGACTTTAAAGTGTATTTCCTACATGTTTTTTAGACTAAATCAATTGAACCATTCGAAAATCGTTAATAATGATATTCACAATAATAAACATAATAATAAAGATTGCTTATAAAAACAATTAAATCAGTATAATCATTTTTTTATTTGGTCCGTACAAAATTCCTGCAGAGTGAACAAACTAAATAGTCCTTTGTTCTTCGTGTAAAACAAACACAGATTTAATTATATAATTTTACCTACCAGGCGGACTCCTACGGATTCATTATAATTTCTCCACAATTAATATTCTTTTGACAGCGAACTGAGAAGAGAAATTTATTGTTTTACAACACTCTGATAAATAAAGTAAGTTTGTAATTGTTTCAAATGCTAATAACAATAAAAAGTAAGTGCATCTTTTTAATACATAGTTAAGAAAATCTTAAAACCATTATACTTAGATTGAGTTGACATTTTTAAAACCTATGATTGTTCAGACGGTTATTTGTAAGTTGGGATTACATTTTGAAGAGATCTTTAGTTTTTTAAGCCGATCGTAATAATATAGAACAACTTTATTTTGTGTCCAATATAGGACAAAAAAGTTCGCACGTTACTTTGGTGGTGAGATTTTTGTTTTTTTGTTAAGAGCAGGGCTGTGTTTAAATTACAATAAAAAATATTTCTAAAAGTGTACAGATCAGTGTTTGGTATAAACCTGTTCCTCATGGTTTAAACATTGTCACTTTAATGGATTTTAATTTTAATTTCGAAAACAAACAGTGTCCAATTACTGGTTGGTAAAAAATGTAAATTTCTTTTATTGGACATATGTCCAATATCATACTCTATTTATATCCCGGGCATTTACCAGCCAATTCTTATGTAAAATTGTCCCCTGAATCCGAAAAGACCGTCAAAAACTATAAAAGTTAAGCAGTTTTTGAGATATAGTAAATTCCATATTATATGTAAAATTGATAATATTTTAAAAAACTATTCTACTTTTATAACTTTTGACGACATTTTTTAAATAATCTTTCATAGGAATTGACTGCTAAATGTCCTGGATACAAATTGCTGTTGACGAGAATTATAAGTGGCTGCTTTTACGCTATGACATTTTTGACTAATTCATTTTTAAAGAGTAAGTTATATAGTGATTTCTTCGTCACAGGACATCTTGTAGAATAACAGCGATTTAAATACAGTGCATGATTGAGAACATAAAAAACTAATGGCAACAAAATTAATAAATTCGGAAAATACTTTTAATATACCACCAGAAAAAATATTAGATATATATATAAATCATCCTGTTCCGGCCTAAACATTTTGAATGCTTCACAAACTAGAGATACCACACTTAATGATATTTGCAACAAACTATTTCAGAAGTCAGAACAAGGAATTAGTAGTTACCTTCAGAAACCAGAAAAGGGATGACAAATCCGAGAAACAAATATATGAACTATATGATATTTACAAAAACGACATAAAAAAAATTACCTAAAACAGTTTATGTT